GTTTTGTAACAAACCTATATATTACAATGGTAGTTTTATTACAAGCTTCTGTTTTATAATTATGGTTTTATAACTGACTTCTGTTACCGTGATGGTTTTATAACTAACTTCTGTATTACCGTGATGGTTTGATAACTAGCTTCTGTATTATTGTGATGGTTTTATAACTAGCTTCTGTATTATTGTGATGATTTTATAACAAGTTTCTGTGTTACCGTGATAGTTTCATAACAAGCTTCTTTGTTACAGTTACGGTTTTTTAACAAACCTATATATTACAATGCTAGTTTTATTACAAGCTTCCGTTTTATAACAAGCTTCTGTGTTTCCATGATGGTTTCATTACAATATTAAATATTATTCAAATCGCTGTGTGTGTTTAGATCCACTGTGAACAAATTCAACTGAAACCCAAATAGTTATCTACAACATGTTAATTAAAGGTCAATGACATCTATCAGTGTAAAAATTATATTCCATAAACACTAATCAGATGTAATGTATCAAGGTAAATCTCATATCAGTGCCTCTTACTATAATGTATAATTACGCATAACGTGTATTTCTACAGTGTTGAGTACGTTTTACTAAAATTATCTGGAATAAGCAAATAAACCAGTTTTATGACAATCACAGTTAGTGTAAATACGCGGTAGAACGGAATGTATCAAAACTATGTTACGTATAGGTTGTGTGATGTCACCTACAATTGATCCCTTTTGGGAAGACTATATAACAATCCTTTTCGACGTGTAATATTCATACCCTCATATCATGAAAATGTGTTTACATCGTGGATTTAAAATTTCTAAGAAGAGGATATCCCTTATTCTTGATGGCGTTGTGAAAAAAAAAAAGAAAGAAAAAGGGATATGAATCAACTTGGGGAACCAGGACAATGAAGAAAGATACCTGCAAAATGGGGTGCACCAGCAATGGTAATCAAAGTGTGGCATTTTGTAACAGGCAAGAACTCACAAAATAAATGTCAGTAAACAAAGCCGTCCACGTGTCTAACTTCAAGGGTAAGCGACACAATTCACATTTAAACAATTTGCTTGCACCGCATATCTTCTTAACAATCGCATAACTCAAGCAACTGGAGAATGAAATAGGTATTCATGTTATTCCATACAATGGTATACCAGTCAAGACTTGTGTGGATTTCTGTGCAGTCGGACTATTGAAGAAATTGTCATTCTCACACACTTTGTGGATTAATGATAGCTTGCAGGGAAAAGTGGTATGCTTTGACCAGGACAGCCTTAAGACAGACCCTTTTGCAATGGAAAGTAGGGTGCATGGTTATTGTCAAGATGAACATTCGTCAGACAGAGTATGACTGGACGTGGCGACATGGACTGTAACAACGAGGTTTACCTCCAAACTCGTTTTAGTATAACGTATTCAACCACATTGGTCAGTTCAAACTGACGACTCGTTTTAATATAACGTATTCAACCACATTGGTCAGTTCAAACTGACGTATAAACGGTATGTTTATTAATGTAATCAAAAAATAAGTTTTTAAAAAAGTCACAGTTCTATAGTTCTCGGTTGACCTTTCCCCAACACATTTGTCCTGTTAATGGTTCACTCCACAAGAATCTCAAGTGTGACCAAAATGGATTTTCAAGAACTGAGTGATAAATGTGTTACTTGGCCGTGAATTTTGAGTATTTACACACACACACACACCACTGTCCTGCTCGTTATATAGAGAAAGTCCCTCCAATTCTGCCACTAGAGGGTAGAAAGATAGAAGAAGTGTCCTGTCCAGATGAGAGGGCCTATATCTTATCTTGGAACTGTCCCTTGAGGCTGACAAAAACCTCTGCTGAAACACCTCCTGACAGTACGGCTCGAGCACCTTCCCCCCCGGTTACCGCTGTTTCTACATTAAAACGTGGACCGTTCCTTGAAAAGTAGCTTAAAGTCTGGCGCCGACCGGAGTCATTAAACGAGGCTGACACAAACATCCGATAAGCTGTAGTGAGGGCTGTGCGTACTCAGCAAAGTGCTGTTTAAAAAAAACTAATGTCATGGTTCCACATTCCACGATATTTAACCACCAATATAAAGTGTGTGATGAATTTAAACAATAACAATTAAAGTACTGAATCTCTTATACGTACGTTTTAAAATAGTTGATTTTTATGTCATGCTTTTTAGATCCTAAATCTCCTACAAACCGCTAGTTGTTTCCCTTCCCCTTTATCGTTTTTTAAATTAGAAAAAAAAAATCAACAAGAAATGCAAGTACTTTTCTTCGAAAAACCAGAAGTAAGAGGTGTTAATGGTAATTGATTTTCTCATTGTGATGTAAATATTCTCATTGTTATGTAAATATTCTCATTATGATGTAAAAATTGTCATTGTAATGTAAATATTTTCATTGTGATGTAAATATTCTCATTGTTATGTAAATATTCTCATTATGATGTAAAAATTGTCATTGTGATGTAAATATTCTCATTGTGAGGTAAATATTTTCATTGTGATGTAAATATTCTCATTGTGCTGTAAATATTCTCATTGTGAGGTAAATATTCTCATTGTTATGTAAATATTCTCATTATGATGTAAATATTCTCATTGTGATGTAAATATTCTCATTGTGATGTAAATATTCTCATTGTGAGGTAAATATTTGCATTGGGATGTAAATATTCTCATTGTGATGTAAATATTCTCATTGTGAGGTAAATATTTTCATTGTGATGTAAATATTCTCATTGTGCTGTAAATATTCTCATTGTGATGTAAATATTCTCATTGTGATGTAAATATTCTCATTGTGAGGTAAATATTTGCATTGTGATGTAAATATTCTCATTGTGATGTAAATATTCTCATTGTGAGGTAAATATTCTCATTGTGATGTAAGTATTTTCATTGTGATGTAAATATTCTCATTGTGAGGTAAATATTTTCATTGTGAGGTAAATATTCTCATTGTGAGGTAAATATTCTCATTGTGATGTAAATATTTTCATTGTGATGTAAATATTTTCATTGTGATGTAAATATTCTCATTGTGATGCAAATGTCTTCTCTGCATCCATTTTGATTAGCGAATAACGAGTGGTTTAAGCGCCGAAAGCCGGCGAAATAAACGAAAACCAATAGGCCTAAGAAATGTTTTAAAAACAGATTAGTTGCAGGTGTTTTTCCAACATTCTTCTTAATTTGGCCATTGGGGCTCGAGATCAAAGAGTGTAATAGCAGATTTATTAAGCGTTTCCTTCAATACCAAAACTAATCACTTCGACTGTACGATGAAACAAAGTATTCTATGAAACGCTATTTATACATGTAGCATAATAAGTTAAAAAAACACCTGCAGGTAACCAGTTTTATAACAATTCTTAACCCTAGTGGTTTACCAATATGTCGCCGGCTTTCAGCGTCTGAACAGTAAATTGAGAGTATATGTATAATAACGTTTCATTGAATCTTTCTTATCATTGTCCAACCCAACTGATTAATTCTTCTATAATAACGTTTCATTGAATCTTTCTTATCATTGTCCAACCCAAGTGATTAATTGTTGTATAATAACGTTTCATTGAATCTTTCTTATCATTGTCCAACCCAAGTGATTAATTCTTGTATAATAACGTTTCATTGAATCTTTCTTATCATTGTCCAACCCAAGTGATTAATTCTTGTATAATAACGTTTCATTGAATCTTTCTTATCATTGTCCAACCCAACTGATTAATTCGTGTATAATAACGTTTCATTGAATCTTTCTTATCATTGTCCAACCCAACTGATTAATTCGTGTATAATAACGTTTCATTGAATCTTTCTTATCATTGTCCAACCCAACTGATTAATTCTTGTATAATAACGTTTCATTGA